AAAGAGCTGAGGATAACATGCAACCAAATCTCATCCATTACATGAGGTTAATTTACAAAACATCACAAAATTGCCTTTCAGGTGAAGGGGATGCTGTTGCCACAACTCTGTGTTCAGTGCCATGAAAGGGGAGATTCTCTCCAAGCCTTTGTGTTTGTTTGGTCTGTTGGGGTGCAGACACCAGAGCCAGGCTCTCTTGAAATCCCTGCAAGAGTGGGGACTTAGTGGGAAATTGCAGCTGGTAAGCCACAGAGCAGCTGCCAACCAAAGGAAAAGACAGAAGATTTCTTGCCGTTGACCCAACAGAATGCACAGCTCTGTGCAAGAGTCACCTCAGATGTCACACTGATGTCACCCACCTCCAGGCATGACTACCCCCACTGAACAGGATGTAAAACCAGAGTCACACCAGCTCCACCTAAATGTAAAAATAGTATAAAAGTAAGTTTAAAGTGGGGAGAAGTTAAGGAAAGCTCCACTGCAACAGTCTGAACCTTTTTCCCTTTAGGGATGTCTGGTGGGTAAGAATTGTACTCTAAGTGTGAAGAATGATGAACTCCAGCCAGCTTCTGTTAGGAACTAAAGCTGGTTAATATGGTGGGGGTTTTTGCAGAAGGATACTACCACCAGCAATCCTGGAACTTTAACCTGTTGTGATTTTCTATTATATTAATGCTCTTATTCCATAAAGGGCTCAGTGTGAGTCCTTCAAGGGCACCACCAGTGCCTGCAGTGAGTAACAGACTCAGCTGAGGAGACCTGGGACAGGGCTCTCTGACTGTGTGACCCTCCCCAGGGCACTGGATCACTCTCTGACCCAGGGGACTCCCAGTGAAGGGTGCCCAGAACAGGATGCTGACACTTTGTGGGCCCAAGGGTTCTGGCTTTCCTGTGGCACTGACAGACCAGTCAAACACAAAGGCTTTGAGAAAATCTCCCTTTTCAGGTGACAGAAGAAAAATGATAAGAAGTTGAAGCAGATATGCAGATGCCAAAGAAAGAATATGCTCTGTTCAGTGAGTGAACAACCTAAAATAAATTAAAACAAACCCACAAGGATCCAAGAAGGTTAACATTTGGGGAGGGAATGTGACACATGGATAACCCTATGCTGTCTGCAAATGACATTGCAAGCTGCTCTCAAAACCAATCAAAAGCCTGGCAATGTCAGAACAGGGCAACACAGAAGTCCTTATTTTATCAACCTCTATGAGAAAACAGAACAACATAGCTTCTTAAACCAGAGCATTATTTCTGCAGAAAAGATACCCAAATTACCAGAGTTTAAAATTTATTTTTCTCTCTCCCCATATATATAAATACCTGGATGTGTGTACATATGCACTTCAACACATACAACACCCAGACAGGAAGAGAGAATACAGAAACTAACACAGCATTCTCAATTCCAGGCTCCTTTCACAGCAAGCAAAGCTGATGCTGCAAGGTAAGGAAGATGGTGACTTGTCGACTGAGAACATTTCAAGCCTCAAGGATATTCACCATTTAGAAGAGTAGGACATGAGAGCTGTGAATGGGGAATAGAAACCAGATCACATTCATGTCCTATATTCTACTGGACTGAAATACCTTTTACATGTGCCCATATCTCTATCAAATATCTTCTGAAAAATTACAAAGACCTCCACTCACTCACCTCATTTTCTGTTAGCTGATCAGGAAGCTCTTTCATTTCTGCTTCGACATTATCTTTATTATCAGAGAGGGAATCAAGAATATTGTCAGGACTGTAATCTTCTCCACAGTCCACAGCACTGCTGTTATCTATTTCAGCTTCATCTAACACACTAATATCCATCATGTCAATGTCCTGCAAGGTATCCAGATTGGCTTCAATATCCTCCTACAGAGAGAAAAGGGTAAATGTGTGTTTATTGCAGGTCACACCATGCACATTCCCAGTAACTGCAATCATGATTTCACTTACCTGCCCATCTCTAGAGTTTTCTTCTAGACCATTGTCTTCCACACCTTCATCTTCTGGCTTTCTTCCTAAAAACAGTATCACTGCAGTGAGATGTAGCACTACATTTTGTACTATGTTTAAGCTTTGCTGAATTATCTGTTACAAGAAGTAACGCTGAAGAGGCTGATCCCTCAGGATGTAACTGAGGTCCCCTTGCCCCTCCATAAAAGCAAACAGCAGGAGCACCAACTACCAGCAGCATTTTTTTTAAATGCTACAGTATTTTTCTAAAGCTACAGTCTGATTCCACCACACTTCCAATACCTAAAAAGACAACAGCCTCTGGGTAATCCATTTAAAAGTAACACCTTAAGACTGTTATGAAAACACCTCCCCTAATTAGATGGATTTAAGAATTAGTGTTCACTTTCAAGATCTTGGACATACAAATCACATTTATGCACATCTGTCACCCCCAAACTTGTACTGCTATTCAAAGATAACAGCTCTTTTTCTATTTTTAGCTACTCTGTCTTAAAAGAAGCAGCTCAATAACCTGTTTCTAATCAGAAAGTATTTTTAAGAAGCAGTTATCAGCAACTCAAGTAAGCCACGTGTAAAATGGCACATACAATATTCAACATTTTAAAGCAACATATAGTTAAATAGAGTATACAACTGAAATATAATTATAGAGGCTTTCCATGGAGCTTATGCTGCAGCTGCTTGCTCTGTGCCTGACACAATTCTACTGGTGGTCACAAACACAGAAACACCTGCAATTTACAGTTTCATCTTTGACTTTCAAGACTTGCTAATAAAACAGGTTTAAAGTTGTTATTGGTCATTAATGCAAGAGAGTTTTAACATTTTCAACGATGTAAAAAGCAACTTTTAAAAAAATTAAACTAATTCAACAGGAGAAAACAAGTTTGTATGTCCAGTTCTAGCACCATGCAAACAGTGGAACTGCAAGTGTCCAGACACTGTACCTTTGCTAGTTCTTTTTGGCATTCTCTTTGTGGTCAGCTCTGAGGCCACAGGAATTTCATCAGGATCTCCTCCTTCCTCCTCAATGGCCTGTTGGAGACAGCAGGATGATATCCACTGTATGATTTGCTGCTGTGCATTTGTACAGGCGTTGGATGGGGCATTAATTCTCTTCATGGCAGCTGACAGAGGGCTGTGGTTGGAGTTTGTGCTGAGAACAGTGCTGATAACAGTTATGTGGTGCTTGGCTTTAACCACAACGGCATTTTTTAGGATTTTTCAGAGAGAAACATTGGTGTCTCTCCCTAGGTCAGGTCATACAGCCAGGCAGCTGTACAACCTGTCAGAAATACTGAATAATAGGGTGCAACACATCCCCACAGGCAAACAAAGCTACAGCTGGGCAGCAAAGCTCCCTGCTCTGCACATAAGCACATCAACAGTATAAAACCAGGAGAGACTCTCACAGGAGCTCAAGTTTGAGTTTTTCCTCAACATCCAGGCTTGTTGGAACTCACAAAAGGGCCAAAGCTGACCATGCTGTTCTGGCCTCATGGAAGTCTGTGGGAATACATTCCAGAGAGGTCGGGGAGATGGAACAGGGTCAAGTGTAGGGTGCCAAGCATCAGGGCAGAAACTGATGCACAGAATGTTCCACCTAAATAGGAGCATAAAATTCTTTACAGTGCAAGTGAGCATGCACTGGAATAGATTGCCCAGGGAGGGTGTGGAGTCTCTCTCACTGGACATATTCAGGAACTGTCTGGACAAAACCCTGTACCATGGGTTCTAGGACAAAACCCTGCTGGAGCAGATGACCCACTGCAATCCCTTCTAAGCTTACCCGTTCTGCGAACGGCACGGAGAAGCGCGAAAACAGGCACGGGGAAGAGGCACGTGTGTGTACGCCGGGGGAACGGGAGGGTAAACAGGGAAAGGACGCGCGGACGCCGGGGTCAGGCAGCGACGGGAAGGCCGAGGCCATCTCACCTTCCACCCAGCGCAACCCGAGCCGCGCTCAGAGCGGCGATGGAGAACGGGCGCCCGCACCGCAGAGCGGCGCCGCGAAACAGCGCAAAGGCAACGGAGCAAAGGGGACGCGCCGGTGCCCAGCAACACCCCGCGGGTAGCCCGGCGGCAGCAGCGCAGCCCCGCTCCCCTCAGCGCAGCCCGGCTCCCCTCAGCGCAGCCCCGCTCCCCCTCAGCACCCGGCTCCCCTCAGGGCAGCCCCGCTCCCCCTCAGCACCCGGCTCCCCCTCGGCGCAGCCCGGCTCCCCCTCAGCGCAGCCCCGCTCCCCCTCAGCGCAGCCCGGCTCCCCTCAGCGCCCCGCGCCCCAGCGCGCACGCGCCGAGGGCGCCACAGACAAAGGACCCGGATGGCCGCACGCCGCGGCCCCCCCGCTCCCCCCGCCGCCTTTCGCCCTCACCTTCCTCAGCCGCTCCATGAGGACGCTCTTGTTGCCGCCGCTGTCCAGGTTCCGCCGCTTGAGCTCAGCGCGCAGGTCGATGACTCGCAGCTCGCTCAGCCGCCGCGTTTCAGGCTCCGAACCAAAAGTCGCGGCCCCGCCAAGGGATGTGAAATCCCCCAGTCCGGCCGCTGATTGACTCTCCGCCATCAAGGCCCCTTCGGTGTTTGGCCTCGAGCCCGAACGCGCAGGAGAACACGGCACAACCCAGCAGCGAACCTGGCGATCACGGCACAAAATGGTGGGGAGCGAGACGCGCCGAGGGGAGGGGGAACAAAGCGCGCTGTGCGCACGCGCGGGCGGGACTGAGCGGGCGGGGCCTGGCGGGAGAATCGCCCGCGCAGGCGCAAACGGCGTCGCCCGCGTCCAAGGACGGCTCGCGAGCCGTCGCGCATGCGCGAGACAGGGACCAGGGGCCGGCCAGCCGCGTGACGTCGCCGCCGCTCCGGAGTTGACGGCGCCGCGGCGCGCGCGGCCTGCCCGGGCCCCGGCGCGCATGCGCGCTGCGCCTCCCTCCCTTTCCCGCCCCCTCGCTCTCCCCCGCGCCCCGGGTCTCCTCCATTTTGTGCTGCGGCGGCGGCTGCGGCTCTCCCGCCTCGCCCTCACCCCGCCTTGCCCCGCGCCAGCGAGTCCGAACCGCGGCCCATGGCGGAGAGCCACTCACCGGCCGGGCTGGGGGAGGCTGCGTCCCTGGCTGGGCCGGGCGTCCCCGCTTCGGAGGCGGAAAGCCGGCGGCGGCCGCTGAGCGAGCTGCGCGTGATCGACCTGCGCGCCGAGCTGCGGCAGCGCAACCTGGACAGCGGCGGCAACAAGAGCGTCCTCATGGAGCGGCTGAGGAAGGTGAGGGCGGCCGGGGGGTGCGTGGGGCGGCTGCGGCCCCGGCCCGGCGGGCTCCGCGGAGGAAAATGGCGCCAAAGAGCGTTCGGGGCCCGGCGGGGCCGGCCCGGGCTCGCCCTGTGGCCGCTGCTGGCACCGAGTGGCACCGGGCCCGCTCCGATCTGTGTCTGCCGTGGGGCTCGCTGGATATTCCCAGCTTCGCGCACCAGAGTTTTGTTCTCCGAGTTGCTGGATTTACGGTGCTGCGTGTGGCGATTTTTGCTGCGTGCTGGTGTTGTTGTGTTAATTTAGCTGGTAGCCCTTTCACTGTATCCTCCTCACAACGTTTCGCCTGTTAATACCGTGAGGAATCTTCTCTGATCTCCTTGCTGTGTCCCAGAGCCGAGTATTTTACCCTGTCACCACAACCCGTGTGTGTGTCAACAGTCCCAAATGCTGTAGGATTGATGAATAGCAGCCCCAAATGCTGAAAGGCTTTTTTTGCCGTTTTCTCAAAACCTTACCCCAACACATTACTGCCTTCTCCCTGCTTGTTGCTTTGCTCTGGAGGTGTTTTGTTTGTGTATCTAAGTTGCTGATTCATGGTTTGGAATTTTTCAGCCTCTGGTGTGCAGCTCTTAAACTCAACAAAAACATACAAACGAATTTTTTATGTCTGTTTTTATATCTGTCTTTCTCTTTTGCCCCTATTAGGCTATTGAGGAGGAAGGAGGGAATCCTGATGAAATTCCAGTGGTTTCAGAAAATATCATGAAGAAAACTCCAAAAAGAAGCAGCAAAGGTATGGGGCAGTTAGAGACACTTTCCACCTTATCATTCTTGAGTTTTCAAGCAAGTGTACTCATGAAATGGAACCTTCATTATATTTTTTTTTGTTACTGATACTCTTTCCCATATTTATTCTCAGGTTTCTAGGGATGGGTGATAAAATTAAACTTAGCAGTCATTTATTCAGAGACTTTCATGTGATTTAGTAAGGCAGGAAATGTTGAAGGATCTGTTGGTTTGTTCTCAGAGTTCCCTGAAGTTTCTATTAAGAATTACCAAGTAATACTGAAGCAGTGTCAGTGTTTTTAATATTTTTTTTATGTAGAAATGTAGTTTCTAGCAAATGCAAAATAAGCTCTGTAGTGTTATGCTTCATAGCTAATGGCAGTTGCAATTTTCTTCTCAGAAGACAAGTTTTAAATCCATTTCTGAGCTCAGATATGTTTTCAAGGCCTTATGTTTGGTTTTTGTAGTGGTGAGACAGTTACATAATCCTTATTTTCAGAAAATAATTAACTGTTTTTCTAAAATTAGTTAAATAGCACAATTGTTTTGTAAGCAAATAGTGTTTAAACTTGGTGTTGGAGCTGAGCAAAATAACTAGTTTAGCTAGGGTATTTTTATTACTAGTTTAGTTTACACAAAATGTATATTTTATTTAAACTGTAAATGTAAACTGCTTTGCCAGCTAATTTTTTTTATTTTTGTTATTACACCTGATTTGGAGTGATAGTGCAATTGCTTGCAGGATAAAATGTGAAATCTTGGCCACATAGAGGGCAAATGTCACAACTCAGGTGAAAGAGATCTTTTAAATCATATTAATTTCCAAGTCTCAGAAAAACACCTGATGTCTATTACATCACTTTTAGTGTGGGATGGAAATAGATGAAATATTCCTCTTGGCTCTAAAGTTCTTCTCACTTTTCAGTTGTAATGTGCTTGTAGTTTTTGAGGAAAAGAAAATTCATAAAAGGTCAAACAGCTGCTTAGCTCTGAGTTTGAGGAGTTGCCCCTTGGTGCTGAGGCTGGTGTAGTGTTTTCAGTAATTTAATTTCATTAATTGGGATAATTCACATCCAGCTGGTGGGCAGAGCACTGCAGTGAAACCCACAGGTCAGGTGGGGTTATTTCAGTATTTTGTGCTGTGTTTTGTTTGGTTGGGTTTTTTTCTCCTCGTAAATATCTGTAAAGACATTTCTTGAGGTAATAAATTGCTGCAATCTGAGCTGAGCCCAATGTTCTGGGGAGGTCACAGAGCTTGAGCTGCTGCCAGGTGTTGGACTGTGGCCTGTTTGTCCCTTACTGGGGTGATCACAAACAGGGAAAAAACTGAAGGGAGCACCACCTCTGATTAAAAAGTCAAGCTTGAGGGGTACAACTTTAATTTCTGCTCTCATTGTAATGATGATGTTGTTGTTAGGACGTAGAGCAGATGAAGAGGGAGTGGAGGACAATGGCCTGGAGGAGGATTCTGGAGATGGACAGGTACAGGGGCTGCCTCTGCAGGGGGGGTGGCACGTGGCTCTCGAGTCACCCTGACTGTGACATGTGCTTTTTTTCTTTCCACAGGACGATATGGAAGCAAGTTTGGATAACTTGCAGGATATTGACATGATGGATATTAGTGTGTTAGATGAAGCTGAAATAGATAATGGCAATGCAGTAGATTGTGGAGATGATTACAGTGCCCATAATATTCTTGACTCGCTGTCTGATAGTAAAGAAAATGCTGATGCAGAAGTGAAAGAATTTCCAGATCAGCCTACAGACTATGCTGTAGGTAACTTGGAGGCATCCCCACAGTTTTCAGAAATTAAAGAAGAATCAAGAGAAATACCAATAGTGATGGTATGCATCTCTTATGTGTGTGGAATCATGGTTTTCTTTTTAAAATTTATTTATTTCTGGATTAAATAGCAAAATGCTGAGGCTGAAAGAGTGCTTGGGAAAATAGCTAAAGAGTACTTGGGAAAATTTGGAACTGTACTGGTTATGGTCGTTGCTTTTCTTTTTATATATTTGTGAAAATAAGTGTCTTTTAAAATACTTAAATGTTGTTTATACACATGTGATTGTATTAATAGCAGTTTAGAGAGCATTTGTTTTTAATCATGCTTTGAACTCTGCTTCACCTTATTAATTATAATATGCATATTATTCCTACTTTAACATCTTTATTTTGGAGAACATGTGAGGCATGCAAATAGTATAGCTTACTTCTCAACTGAACAGCACCATTCAGGGAATGATACTCAAGGTTATTTTTCTGCTACGATTGGGTCTGTTAAGATAACAGTTATTCAGTTGCTGAGAGTATTTTTATGTTGGCTTACTGTGTTCATCTGGCTGTTGACACTGGCGTAGAGGATAATCCCTTCCCCAAAATCAAGTGCTTTATCTCCTGACATGTACAACAAAACATTTGAAAAAAAGTTATTTCTGCCCCACCTAATGGAGGAATATTGCTCTTTGTTGTGTGTCCACATTGGCTACAAGATTGTAAAGTTGTGTGGTTTTTTTTCCTAAAGCTGCAGAAATAAGCTTGGCCCCCTATCCCCAGGCATATCCTTGTCCTACACAAATCTAATGGAAATACTCAGGAAAAAAAGAGAGATTTTTGAGTGAGCAAATGTCTTGGGGCCAGGTCAGCTCCCATCATTGCTTTCATCAGTGAAGGAAATAATTACCAAGTCCTGTAGGTTTTTTGCCTCTGTGTTGTTGCTGTAAATGACAGGGATACAAATCAGAGAAATTTTGCTGTTGGAATTCCCATATTTAAAAGATTTATGTGAGCTGACCATCACAGTTAAACGATAATGAGAGATTTTATTCTATCAGTGGGGATCAGGAAGAGTCCTCGGGGTTGTCACTCAGTTTTTACTATTATTGGTTGCTTTGGATGCAGGATGTGTTTGCTGTCAGTGCAAATACAAATCTTCAGTTTCTCATTCAGGTTTCACTTACAGTATTCCTTTATAGATAACAAGATGTCTCCTGTTTATTTTTTAAAGGTAGAGTTTGAAGATGTTGGGAACAGTTTAGATGCTTCTTCATCAGATTTAACCGTAATAAAGGTAAATGGTAGCCAGTTTTTCTTTACAAACAAAAAACCCCATAAAATACACTATATAATGCTCTATGGTGAAACTGTGTGTGTATGGTGGGTGCATTCTTCCTCTGCAAAGAATGGGACCTAATGCCTTTTGATTTATTCATAGAAACAAAGATTTATTTCTTTATCAATCATATATGTATATACATATATATAAATATGTTTATGATGTATGTGTCATACTGAGTTTGGTGGTAGATTGGATTCCTTGTATCTGATGTAAATACCAGCTCAGTGCCTTACATTGTGTTTAACTTCCATTAAAAATGTACATATCCCAGGGTGAGAAGAAAGCTGGAACTGTCTATTCCTGAAATGCTGGCCTTGTTTCCAGATCACTCCTGGTAGGTTAAGAGCACCAGCTCCAGGTGAAGCTGGTGTTTCTCTTGATCCTGTTATCAGAAAGGAGACTTCAAACAAACACAGGGTAGAGAAGGGTAACACGAAGATAAGCTTTCCTCTGTGCTGCTTCCATTTATTGATTTATTTATCCATGTGAATGTGTACCATGTGTTCAACAGGTGGCTGAATTTGAGAGATTTTAAAGTTTTCACAGATTTCATAAAGCTTTGAGGATGTTAAAAACTCATCTTAAAACTTTTTCTGAGAAATTCATTTGAATTTCAATGTTTTCAAAGCTGAAGTAGGCTATCTTATAGTAATGCTTTCACTAAATACTCTCCTGTAATGGGTGGATAAAAAATGTCATTCAGAATAGCATCTTCCATATGAAATATTGATATTTCTCCTTTTCAAAATCTTTTTCACTACAGGAACTTGAAGAGTTACCTTTGGAGCCAGGTACTGTTTGTTTTTGTTTGGTTACTTTGATTTATTTTTTTCTTAATGGAAAAAAAAAATCCTGGGCATTTAAACAGTTTCATTCTTCATTGAGGCTTTTTGCGTCCCTGTTTGGTTTTTTTGGTTCTTTTTTTAATGCATTACTGTAGTGTACGTTATTATGGTGGAAAATCCAGGTCATGCAGGGTCATAGAGATTGGAAACCCAGTCATATCACCAGATCTGTGAATAACCACCCTTGGAAAACTTGTTTAATGCCATGAAATGGTTCCCCAGAACTGTTACTGCAGAGTGAAGTTAAGGAACGAGCCTTAAAGATGTAAAGGTTCTGAAAACAGATCTTGTGATATCACACTGTACAGTGGTTCTGTGAATGAATATAAATACAGGAGTGTAGGCAGTGCAAAGCTCTGGTGCAGAACACAAATTAAGGAGTGACTGGACTTCAGAAGAAGGATCACGCTGCCATCAGGAATTTGCTACAGATCCCACTCACTTTCTGGACTGCAAACACACTCAGAACCATCAGAAGATGCCCAGTTCTCATGTTGGACTGTCTCTGCTAAAAGAACTTCACACAACCTTCAAAGGTTGTTTCCCCAAATTACTCTTATTTCTGTCATCTGCAAAACAGAATTGTCCATTTAGGGGTACAAATCCCTATCTCCTGTCACTCTTCTAGAAAATTGCCAATAATAGTGTTTATTTTGGAACTAATTTACTGGTAGGTATCCAATTTTAGTTGTGCTGTCTAGAATTAATGGCCTTTTTGCATATGATCTCTTGAATAATGTGATGTTTTGTCTTTAGCCCTGTTGAAGACAAAGATACAAAGGCAGTCACAAAAGATGAGAAAGGTAAGTGCACTTTTGGGAAATTTTTTTTTCAGAGGACCTGGAGTAAAAAGGAGGATTGTTAATTCAGTGAACCCTCAGTGCAGTTGTAACACATCTCTTCAAGATATAACTTTAAAATATCAAGTCCTTGTAACTTTTGTAACATTATTAACGAACAGAGTTGGGGTTTGTTTTAAATAAGTATTTTTTGTGAGATAACATTTGATACTTTGTAATTCTCTGAAAAGTGATTTAAGTACGGGAAGAAGATCTGTAGCTACAAACTCTTTAAGGCTGTTCAAATGCACATTAATTATGGAGAGCTTTATGAAGGAAAATGTGGGGAGTTAGGACTCTGAATTTTGCACTGCTGCATTTGTGTTTCACGTGGTCTTTTATGTTTTTTGTGCCCCAGGCCGTGTGGGGAGTGGTTCTGGCAGAAATTTGTGGGTTAGTGGACTTTCCTCCTCTACTAGAGCTACAGATTTGAAGAACCTTTTCAGCAAGTATGGAAAGGTACGTAGTGGATATGCAAATTAACAAACCATTCTGTCAGTTTAAAATGCTGAACTTAAATTTTGCTCTTATTTTCCCTCATTAATAGAGTCTTGAGCATCCAGCAATTAATGCTGTTTTAAACTATTCAATTTCAAGGAGTATTCTTTGGAGAAATGCAGCCTTGAGGGCAGGTTTCCACTTGTTTTGCAGTGCCTGCTATCATGCAAGAGCAGAAATTGGGGAAGGGAGCTCTCTGTGTGACCATCTCCCCTTCTGCCAAATACTTTTCTTAATGTAATATTAAATGTTTATGTCACTAAGTGCCACTGCCTGTCACAGATTGTCACCTGTGGGTACAGATGTCCTGTAAGGAAAGGGCAAATGGTAGTAGTTTTGTTTATTCAGTTTTATTTTGGTTTTTACAATCCCACTCTCCCTTTTCTGTATATACCTGCCTTAAGCTCCTGACCTGCTCAGCAACTTGAAGATGAATTTTCTGAGCTGCATTGTTGAAGATCTCCCTGCCTATTACAGGGGATTGATAGAAATAAATGGCTTTTAAAAGTCCTTTTCCAAACTGTTCTAAGAAACAGTCACTAAGTTAGAATTTATTTAGTGGCAGACTTGCAAACACAGAATATTTTGTTTTTCCCAAAGGTGGTTGGTGCAAAGGTGGTGACAAATGCTCGCAGTCCTGGCGCTCGCTGCTATGGCTTTGTGACCATGTCAACATCTGAGGAGGCCACCAAGTGCATCAATCACCTCCACAGAACAGAGCTGCATGGTAAAATGATTTCTGTGGAGAAGGTAAGTGGCAGCTATGTCATGGCAGTGTGATGAAAATAAAAGCATGCAGTTTTAATCTCTATCTCTGACTATGTAATTCTTTCTGGCTGAATTTCTAGGCGAAAAATGAACCAGCAGGAAAAAAGCCATCTGACAAAAAGGAAGGTGAAACAAGGAAGGAAAAAGACAGGCACCATTCTGCAGATTCCAAATCTGAGAAGTAAAGTGTTGTTTTATGTTTTGTGATACTTAAAGACAACTCATTTCAAATGTAGCCAGGTGACCAAGTTGAAAAGTAACTGTAATAAATCTTGATTTAATGTTTCATCCTGCATTTGAAATAGGAATATTGCTTGGAAAGTTGATGTTTTTGCAGTAGTAAGGACATCTGAACTGGCCCTCTGTTCAGAAATACAAAGCTCTTTAGTGTTAGTATAATAACTTGCTAGCTATATTAGGAGATTTAAATCAAGTTATTTATAGGTAAACCTTTATTTTTACCAGTTGTTTGTCCTCTGATCTGCCTCTGTCTTGGACTCTACTTTTAACTGACAAATATTTCTAGGATTTAGTTACACACTGTGTGGTTAGTGAGTGAAACTTCCAGCATTTGTTTTTCAAGTGGTTTGTTGCTTTTGAAAGAGGCATTTTGCTTTCCTGCTTTTTGTAGATCTGTTGGTATTAAGAAGGAGGAGAAGATCGACAAAAAAGATGATGCTAAGAAATCAGAAAAAGATGAAAAAGAAGGAAAAGAAAAGGATGAACAAAAGACTGGATCTTCTGATAGATCCAGGGCAAGCAAATCAGGTGATGCTAGCTGTCTTTCAGAAATGTTTTCAAGGATACTTGTACATTATTACGTGTGATTGATAATTCAGGGAAAAGAAGCTTACTTAATAAAACTGACACTGACATCAGAAAACACCTTGAAAATTTTGACTTCAGTTTATAATAATGTAAAAGAGTTTCCATAATGTTTATGGAACTGTCACTGAGTTTAGACCCGACACTGTGTGTGGTTTGTGTCCTTTTTTGAGCTTTTTTTTTAACTGTGGGGAATGATGTATTTTGTGGGCAGAAGAATTAAATTAAATTTGAGTTCTTTTAGCTGTCATCCCTGCCAGAAAATACTGCTGTAATTTTGTGATAAATTTACTGCTCCCATCCTCATATTAGCTAAATCTTGGCAAGCTATTTAAATAATAAGTTCCATCAGTTATTAAAAACCTCATTGAAATAACTTTTTTACTATTTAGTGTCTTCACAATTTTGAGTCTTGCAAGAATTGTTGAATATCTTTTGTACCATTTATTTTTTTTCTATGTTTTGTTTTCTAGCAAGTCGAGGAACAGAAAGGACAGTGGTGATGGATAAATCTAAAGGAGAGCCAGTTATTAGTGTGAAAACTTCTGCATCAAAAGAGAGGGTAAGGCCAACTTCCAGAGAAGCTTTGGTGTAAAAATAGGTGTCAAATAGATTTATGTGCTCAGAGATGAAGGGGTTTTAGCCTTGCATTTTGGTACAATTATCCTTTTATCATTTTCTGGAAAGCATCGGGGGTGTAATGATGTGGCAGAGGGGAAATGCTTCTGTTTCACCTTTTTTATACTTTTTTTACTGCTGACTTAGTGCAAGAAGTCTAATTGCAATATGAAAATGGTTTTGGGATGATGTGTTTCCCTGAGCCTGGAATGTTATTGGTGTGTGTTGTTTGAAGTGCAAGTCAGGTTGTGTTCCCCTAGGATTTATTTGTAATAGTTTGAAGTTCTGGTCAAACTGGGGGTACTTTTCCCTGGAATTCCACTGTTGTTTACCTCTGGGGAAGGCATGGCAGCCTGTTTTGGTCAGGTTGACACACTGTAGGTATTTGCCTGGGAGCTTTAGCTGGAAATGCACCACGTTCAGCTCATGCATTGTTCTGATTCATCTCAGAGCACAAAGAGCCAGGACCGCAAATCGGAGAGCAAGGAAAAGCAGGATATTTTATCTTTTGATAAAATCAAGGAGCAGCGGGAGCGGGAGCGGCAGAGGCAGAGGGAGAGAGAAATCAGGGAGACAGAGAGGCGCCGGTGAGTTCCACTCCCTCTAAACTTAAATGGCACTTTTTACTCCCTTATCTGTTCTGTGTTTTTGTTCAAAGCAGTGCTGTGCTGATCCTCCAACAGTGCTATCTCAGATTGATTCCATACTAATTACTGTCTCAGACTGATTTCTTACTAATTACTGCTAGAACAGACATTAATGCTAAGTGATGGAGGCTTTTACTGCAGAAATCAATGTTCTCATGAGACTTCCATAGGTGCTTTCAGGCTTTGTTTTCCACTTGACTGGATTTGAATTTCCTTGATTTTTTTTCCCCTGAAGCTTGTAAATACTTTTTGTACATCAGATTTCTGTCTTAAGACTTGCTGTGCTCTCTGGAAGCTTTTTCAGACCTGACTTAAGAGTAGATGCTGTGTTACTTATCGAAATTCTCACCTTTGTTTCTGTCATTTGTGAGGAGGATTTTATTTTCCCCGAAGCTGTTACTTGATTAGGAAGAAGGGGGAGAACATAGAAAGTTCTTTAAAAAAAAAATAAACCCCCACTCAAAACAAAGAAGCAGTAGAGCTTGGACTGAAGAATCTCAATTAAATCCAAGTATCTCTTTTAAACCAGAGAGAGAGAGAGGCGAGACCGGGAGCAGCGCCTGGCAGCCATTCACGAGCGGGACGAGAGGCAGAGGCTCCAGAGGGAGCGGGAGCGGCTGGAATTCCAACGGCAGCGCCTGGACAGAGAGCGCCTGGAGAGGGAGAGGCTGGAGAGGGAAAGGATGCACATAGAGCAGGAGAGGAGACGGGAGCAGGAGAGAATCCAGAGGGAGAGGGAGGAGCTGCGACGCCAGCAGGAGCAGCTGCGCTACGAGCAGGAGCGGAGATCTGCCATGAGGAGGCCTTATGATCCTGACAGCAGGTGAGGAGCAGGGCAGAGGGGCTCCAAACTCCTCAGCCTCATCCCTCTTGGGAGCCTGTGGAAACGGGGAGCACTCTGGATAAGGCAGGCATGGGAGCTTGCAGATGAAAGACTCTTTATGTGCTGCTTCTAGCACTAATAGCATTGAAGAAGAGCAAATAACGTGCTCGTACACGAAGCACTGTTTGGGTCTGCTCTTCTTTCCCAGAGAGGGATGACCAAGAGAAGTAACAACCCAGAGTTGTTACTACTTTGAGTAATAGAGAGTAGAGTAGTAATAATAGACTTAAAGGAGTAGTAGAGTTGTAATAATAGGGTAGTACTAGTAGAGTAGTAACAATGGAGTACTAGTAGAGTAGTAATAATAGAGTTAATAGAGTAGTACAGTTGTAATAATAGAGTAGTAGTAATAGAGTACTAGTAGAGTAGTAACTGTAAAGTATTAGAGTTGTAATTATAGAGCAGTAGTAGTACTAGTACTAGTAGAGTAGTAATAATAGAGTTAATAGAGTAGTACAGTTGTAATAATAGAGTAGTAGTAATAGAGTACTATTTTCTTTTTTTTTATAAAGTATTAGAGTTGTAATTATAGAGTAGGAGTCGTAGTACTAGTAGAGTTGTAATAATAGAGTAACAGAGCAGTAGAGTTGTGTGTATCAACTCTAAATGGTAAGGGAAAGGATACTCATTCTGGCATCACCACGTGCTGAAACTAAGCTGGTTTTCATAAACCAAATCTTCTCTGAAACCGAAGCGCGACTCCTGCTTAAGGCACACAGATTTTTAATCACCGTGTTGATTGGGGTTGGCGAGGGCGGGGCAGGGGAGCTGGCTGTGGGGCTGCTGCTGACGTGGCCCCTGTGCAGGCGGGATGAGCCCTACTGGCCCGAGGCCAAGCGGCTGGCGCTGGACGATCGCTACCACTCGGACTTCGGCCGCCAGGATCGCTTCCACGACTTCGACCACCGCGAGCGCGGCCGCTACCAGGAGCACTGCTTGGACAGGTTGGCAAGGCACTGCCTCTTCTTCTTCTTCTTCCTATGCCTTCGGGGAGATTTGGTGTCTTTTTAATCACTCTTGTGTGTTTCTCATGTCTGACTTCACACCTGCTTGCAGTCCTTTGTTTCTGTGGGTTAGGCTGCATAAAGATTATAAGCTGAGTCCTAATGTATTCTGCCATGATGCTGATGGAGATGCAACAGCTCCTCTCTTGGTGTATGGAAGTCTCCTTTATGAACCCCTAAGATTTAGCCATTTCCTTTTGCTTTAAAACTTCCCCTGTTTTCATCTTTGCAGCCTGGCTAATGCAGGGTTTTAGCGCCACAGATGGAAAAATATTTTCTGTGTGGTGCTGTTGAGATTTCTGTTTGCTCTCAAAGGATCTCTGGTGAAAACTGTACCATTGTTTTTGTTTGTAACTCATTTCTGATACAGGTTCACTCAGTATTCTCCCTTGGTGTCACTGAGTACTTGGCCATCCTCAGTGGTGCCTTTTTTACTTGTATTACAGTGATAGGTGTTAGTTTGATCTCTTTTTATACTATGAATTAAGAACTCTTCTAGTTATCTTGCCACTGAACATTAGCATCCAGATTTACACCTAATGAAGATTAACTTTGCATGTGTTATTTCATGCAGACCCTGGAATTATAAATACTGTGTTGATTCAACTGAAACTTTCCTTTTTGTTCCAGGAGAGACTGTACAAGGGGAATTCCAGATCGAGATGGGCAGGTGTGTTGCAACAAAATTACTGCTTCAGTTAAAAACCAAAACAAGCTGACCCCAAAGCAGAAAGGACAGTGTGCACACAGCTCAAATTGTTTCAGCTGAGATACTTAAGCAGAACTAATTTTGTGTGCTAATGAGCATAAAGTAAATTATTAGGTTACCTGTTTGCTGGGGTGGTAGCCTCAGTTACAGGCAAGGGGAAACCTCTGAGAGATGGGAGCATCTTTTCAGGCTGGTGTGTGGCAGTAAAAGCTTTTTGATTGACTAACTTAGGTGTTAAGAGAGAACTGCTGTACTTACTTAGCTGGCAAAGGATGCCTTCTCTCACATTTATCTAAATGAAACAACTGGTGCCAGAATGAAACAAGGCTGTAAAAGGACAGGTGTGAAAATCAATGTCACAATGGGATTCAAAACCTTTCATTTCTGAAGAGAGGTAGGAAGTAGGCAGGTACTCTATGTAAAAATTTAAAAGCTGAAGTCAAGAATGTAAGCCTTAAAAATCTTTACCAAACAAGATTTGGTAAAAATCTTGGTAAAAATAAACACTCCAGGTGTTTTATTTTGTGCTGTTCACTTTCCCACCAGCAAACAGCACAAAACAAACGCCTGGAGTGAGCCATGCCCTACAACAGAACCCATAAAAACTGAGACAGCTACCGCTTTTTCTGACAGCTCATAGAAACCAACATCCAAAAAGCCGAATTTTCACAATCCTAGCAGAAAAGCTGTCTGGCTTTTAGCATGACTGTTCCTGTTTGCCTTGCAGCACTACCCAGACGAGCGGCACGGGGGGCCCGAGCGTCACTCCCGCGACAGCTGGGGCGGCTACGGCTCCGACAGGAGGATGAGTGAGGGAAGAGGGATCCCCCCACAGACCCGGTTAGTGCCTGGGGGCCCTTCACATTGCCTCAGTGAACCTTTGGAGGGTGGCAGCAGAAGCAGCTTGACAAGTGTGGATCCTCTCTGCAGATCTTGGAGCATCTGCAGGAGCAGGGAATTGCCACGTGCAGCTCCCACGGGCCTCAGGAGGGTGAAGCTCTGTAGTGAGTAAAGAGCTGCTCAGTTAGCTCAGCTCCTGACTCTGCTTCTCCTGTAAATAACTTTCATTCCTACAGATGAGATTCAGTCTGTTTCTACAGATGCCCCAGTAAGGCCTGCACCAGCCTCATTCATGGCCAGTGGTCAGGTTTTAAAGGAAATTGAGTGAGAAGTCTCTGCAGTGGTGGGGGTAGAGAACTTGGACTCACCTGAATTGTAGTGGTTTCTCTTTAAACCAGTTCATCAAGCTGGGCATATTCCAGTTGCTTAATTTTCAGACTGAGAAGTGGCAGCCAATGGATTAATCCATGCCCAAGTATTTCAGCCCATTGCAATATCCATGATGTCTCTGGATCATAAAAGACAAGTTTTGTTGTGTGGAGGATGCTGTTCAGCAAGTGTCTGTCACTGTTTCTCTTTGACCAGTTCTGATTGCAGTGGTTGGGTGGCTACAGCTATAGCTTGATTAACCATTTAACACACTTTGGCATGGGGTATGGTGTTTGGCTTTACCCTGTGCTGCTCAGTGGGTAGGGGACATACCTAGAAGATGTTCTTTTATTTTTTTAAGAGATGGACGTGACTGGGGAGATCATGGTCGAAAGTTAGAGGGGCATCAAGATCGTACATGGCAGGGAAATGTGGCTGGAGGAGTGATGGGACGGGATCATGAGAGATGGCAAGGTACACTTGCTGCTTACCAGTGTGATTGTGGTTCTTTTCTGTGAATTACTGCTGCTGAACCTTCTAGTGGTAGTTAAATTTTGGAGAAATCAAATTAAATTCTGGGAACAAGGTGATGTTTTTATTAGGGAAGCACAAAAACCTGTATTTTTCTTTTTTTTTTTCTTTTTTTCCCCCCTTTTTTTCTCTTTTTGAATTAGGTGGTGATAGAAGCATGCCTGGTCAGTCAGGACCAGGCCATGGGATGACTCGAGGAGGAACATCAGGGTAAGAACCTCTGTCAGAATGCTTATAATGCTTTTATAGTGCTTTGATCTGTATAAGCCTGGATTGGCAAGGGGAAAAAAACCCAACAAATTAAAGAAACACCTTTCAGAGTGTAGGAATGTGCCCCCTGTTGATGGAGTGACTAAATTATTCTTTGTCTGCTTAGAAAGGCATAAAGCCCAGAAGTTTCTCTCCCAGTTTGGTACAAAGACTCCTCACAGGACTAAAGCCCAGAAGTTTCTGTCCCAGTTTGGTACAAAGACACCTCACAGGACCTTTGAGACTTCACCTCAGACCTGGGGCTGTCCATTGGACAGAGGCCAAGAGGTCCCACCTGGGTAATTCATTAGAAAAGGAAGAGAACAGAGGAAATAACTGCTTTTGTGGGGTGTTTTAGCAGGAGCAGGAACCTCTCACCCCTAGCTTAGTTTTTCTCTGTAAGAGCTTTGTTATTTTGCCTTTCATTAAACCTTTTTCTGTTTCCAACACCATCTCAGAAGCCATCCTGCTAATTCGATGCCATTCTGGGCTGATTTCAGCTGTGATGGGTTCTCTGAGAGCTCATAAAACCTGGCTCAGCAGAACCCATCCTCAGAGACTCCCTGTGCTGTGCCCAAAGTGTCCCTGTTGCATCATAGCAGTGACCCCTTGAACAGGGAATAATTAGCACTGACTCCATGATTGCAGAGGCTGATTAATCACTTTATTGTACTAATCCTATATTCTACTCTTCAGAAAAACCCATCAGTAACAGGAGCCTCCTGGAGCCAGGTCTCATGAGTCTGTTACACACCCAAGATAGCTCAGCTACCTTTGGAAGCATAAAATCAGCAGGATGGCTCCTGTTGCAGTGTTAGAAACAAAAAGGCTTTAATAAAAGGCAAAATAACAAACAGAGAGGAAAAAAAAAGAAAAAAAAACCAAAAAAACAGAAAACAGAGAAAAGAGGTTCTTGCTCCTGGTAAAATACCTCACAAAAGCAATTAGTTTTGTCATTCTCTTGGAGTCTGTTACACACCCAAGATAGCTCAGCTACCTTTGGAAGCATAAAATCAGCAGGATGGCTCCTGTTGCAGTGTTAGAAACAAAAAGGCTTTAATAAAAGGCAAAATAACAAACAGAGAGGAAAAAAAAAGAAAAAAAAACCAAAAAAACAGAAAACAGAGAAAAGAGGTTCTTGCTCCTGGTAAAATACCTCACAAAAGCAATTAGTTTTGTCATTTCTTTTTCTAGTAAATTGGTCAGGCTGGACTTTTTGGCTGCTGTCCAATTAGCTATCCTTAAGTTTGAGGTGACGTCTCTAAGGTCCTATGAGGTGTCTTTTCACCTAATTAAGGAGAGAAACTTCTGGACTCCTCCTTAAGGCAACAAAACCAAGTGGCACATCCCTACTCCATCACCCCCCCAGTCCAACACAGCTTTGCCCCAACTCATCAGTCAATCCAACCACCATCCCTGGAGTGCAGTGAAGAAATCCCCCTGTGCTAAGCCCATCTCCAGCGTCCCTCGTGCTCCCCGAGCTCCGTGCGTGGCTGTGCCGTGACCGCGCTGTCGTTGCAGGCGCGGGGGCTTTGCCGGCAGCCAGGGCCAGAGTGCTAAACCCCTCTCCATAACGCACTCCACGTGCAGTATTCCCTCATGCTCCCCGAGCTCCGTGCGTGGCTGTGCCGTGACCGCGCTGTCGTTGCAGGCGCGGGGGCTTTGCCGGCAGCCAGGGCCAGCCCGTGCAGGGCAGCGGCGTCCCCGGGCTCTTTGCAGCTCCTGAGAGACCCCCCAGGCCGAGCTTCAGCCGCCGCTACTGAGCCTGAGCCTGGCCGCGCACAGAGGGCTCAGCGCCGCGACGCCGCGCGTGAGTTTTATTAACCCGAGGTCACCTCGAGGTTGTGGTTCTAAAAATGCCAGACTGCTGCTGCGCCGTGGCCAAATCTGTGTCAGCTCGGTTTGGTTTGGGTTTGGTTGTTTTTTTTTTGTTTGTTTGTAATGAACGTGGTGTTGGTCACACATCGCTTTTAAGTTTCTGTAAGTGAAACATTCCATTTTTCAAAAATAATAAAACCGGTTTATGGCTACTGGGTTTTTTTGTTTCTGGAGTCTTTGGTGATCTCGTGAGGTTTGAAAGTCATTGAAGACACAAATCTGCTTTTAACACTGAGATTTTAGAAGTGATGGATCTGTGACGTTGTGGATGTGGAGGGGCCTGGCAGACCCTGCCTGCTTTTGTTTCCTTTGTCATTAATTTTAAATATTCTTTCTACATTTCCATTTTAGTTTTCTGTCATTACAGAAGTAGAAAGAGGAGGAGGAAGAAGGAAAGCTGGGAGAAAGAGAGGAGGAAGAAGGAAGGAGGCCTGAAAAGTAGCATTGAGTTCAGTCTAGGGCTCAGTGCTCACCCTGTTCACCTCCCTCTGATGTTGTTAGTCTTCTCATTGCTTTGCACCTTCAACACAAAGACCTAAAAGCCAAACACGAGGATGCTCCCAGGGTCAGAAGTCACATCTTCTCCCCCTTCAGCAGCACCACAAACGCCTGGGGGCCACAGGTGGGGCAGAAAGTGCCCCACATCCCCCGGGCACTCTGGGATGCTGAGGGGAAGGAGGATGCAGAGAGACCAAGAACAGCTGTCCCTGGGGCTGTGCTCACAGGTTTGGGGTGATACCACAGTGGTATCACAAATTTTAATTCTTCCTTCTCTTCCCTATACCCCATCTTTATTTCTTCCATCCACCTCTGGCTTCCTGTTTTAATTCCTCCCTTTAAAACTTCTTATTCATTCAAATACTGAAAAATAATATTAATTTATATAATAACTGAGAGTTATTTCCAAATAACTCTTCATCCACTGTACTATACACAGAATTTTGGGAATATCTGTATTCAAAATCCCCAAAATTCTGTGAATAGTAAAGTGGATGAAGAGTTATTTGGAACTCTATAGCTCTTGAATATACAGATATAACTTTTATGTGTGCATATATATATATATATACACCTTGAGAATGTAAGAAAATCGGTTCTATAAGGAGGAAGTAGAGGTTTCTGTATTTATTTTTTCCTGTCTTTAACAAAGTTAATTCTGAGGTTTTGGCTCGGTTGAAATCGCTGCCGCCGCCTGGCGGTGAGGGGAGGAACTGCAAGGAGCCGAGGGCTCCCTGTGCCGCCACCTGGCGGGAGGTGGTGACACTGCAGGACAGCGCGGGTGACAGCGGGGAGTGCCTGGTGTCCCCAGCACAGTGACACCGGGGATTCACTGCTGTCCCCAGCACAGTGACACCAGGGACTCACTGCTGTCCCAGCACAGTGACACCATGGATTCACTGCTGTCCCCAGCACAGTGACATTGGGAGTCCCTGCTGTCCCAGCACAGTGACACCAGGGACTCACTGCTGTCCCCAGCACAGTGACATTGAGGATTTTCCAGAGGGATCCACCAAAAGCCATCAGAACTCCTGGGGAAGGCAGGAAGGAGTCCCGGGGACTCACTGCTGTCACCAGCACAGTGACACTGGGGACTCACTGCTGTCCCAGCACTGTGACATTGGGGATTTTCCAGAGGGATCCACCAAAAGCCATCAGAACTCCTGGGGAAGGCAGGAAGGAGTCCCAGGAGCTGCAGTCCCAGTGTGGCTGTTCCAAAGGGATCCACAGGGGCCCCAGTGCCATCCAGACTTCACAGAGCAGCTGAACAGGAAAACAACACCAAAAAGTTCATTTGCTGCAGGGCAGGATTCCACATGGGAAGGGGCGTGGGGTTGGTTTGGGTTTTTGGGGAAACTCACCCATATTCCCACCAATTTATAGAGGTCTAACATAAAACAGCAACAAAAAAAGCTGGGTACCCTTTGGATATCTGCACACTGCAACACCTGTCACTTCAGGGTTAAAAAATTTGTTTCACTGCCCTGAACATCACAGAGAATTTCAGAATTATTTTTAACAGCTCACAGCACAACCCAGAACTTTAAGCCTTGGAAAAACAAAATTTTCCCTTTATTTATATTGCACCTGTTTCACAAAGAGCCACATGGCAGAAGTTCCTTCTGCTGCAAAATGCTGCATCAGAAAAAAATGGGTTTGAACAGATTAGAAAGGAAAACTGAGCTTTGGAAATCATCAAGAGTTGACCCCAAAATACCAACACTATTTTTACAAATCACTGTGCACTTACAAAGCCTAAGTCTTGCCTCAACTTTATTTAGCATTCAGTTATTTAAAAACCACAAGCATTTCACCAGATGATAAAGATACTCTTACCACTTACTTTAGTACCACTGGGTACTAAAATTGAACCTGCAGGGGGAATATTTTTAAAGAGCACCAAATACTCTTTGGAAATACCAACAGATTACACACGTGGAGTGGGGAGAAATTGGTTTTCTTATTTCTACAACTACCCAGGGCTGCTTGGGGAAGAAGTTTTTCAATGTTGTGATGTATTTCTGTGTAAAAAATGCATAGTGACAATCAAAATATCTCAAGGGAGTCCAGTTCTAACCCTGTTTACAGCATTGGTGAGAGAGAACATCCACCCAACTCCTCACCAGTGGCCATTATGGCACTCCCAGAACTTCCTGCAAGGAATAAACCCAAACCCTTGGCTTTGATTTAATAACAGGGTCATTGTACACAGCTGTGTAGACTTTGCCCTCTCTATTCCAGCTTTTATCCTTCCTGCAGCCCTGGGTACAGAGTCAACCACGCCACTCATTTACAAACCAGCTTAAAACAAACATCTCACTTGGCCAAACAAAAAACCTTGCGGAGGTCCAAGATTAAAATGTTTATTACAGCAATGTCAGGAAGTTCCTCTCCCTGAATGTGGGCAATATTGCTTAAGGACTGGGATTTGGGAGCCAGCAAATCCACCCCGTGCAACCTGACGTTTTTAATGACACCCTGCACCAGAGGCAGGCATCCCTGCTGCCCACAGAGCTGGGCTGCAGCAGCAGGAGCTCTCCAGGGAACACATTCATCCCTGGGCCCTAAAAGCACCCATTATCCTGTGGGATATCCTCATTTTGGGCCAGGCCCTGCAAGCAGAGTTTTGTTTCAGAGACAGGAGTGAGGCCACGAGCCCAGACTGGAATGTGGGACAGTTCTGAGCAGGAAACCCTCAGCTGCTGCCAAGACTAAAGAAAAAGCTGAGCTTAAAAGCTGCCCTGGTGAGTGTGCAGGGCAAGCTTACTGGGAAAACCCCTGCCAGAAAAGGTTTGGTTATGTTCTTTCAAAGGAAACCAATCTAAATACATTTAATAAAGCCTCTGATCTGGTTTTTATTTACTCCCTGTAGCAGCTGAGGTGGTAGGAACCTGGCACAGCAGAGGCTGGAGAGATGAACTCAGAGCATGCCTGCACATCTCTGGGGCCCCACTGCCACTTTTTTTCTGGTATTTTACCCCCTGGGATGTAGAGAAGAATCACCTCCATTTTCCAAAAGGGAAACTGAGGCACAAAGACACAATTCAGCATTTGCAGGAATTCACCAGGTCACAGCCTTTGAGAGCAGCAGGAGAACTTCAGCCCCTCCTGAAAATCCCAGCCTGAATCTCATCCTCAAATCAGTCTGCAGAGTCAGCACCTAATCCAAATCCAGAGTCCACCAGATCCTTGTTACTTGTAAGTAAAACCACTGAAGTGCTGGGAAGTGAGCCCTAGAAACACACATTTGGCATTTTCTCTGTATTAAAAAGAAGTAATTATACAGTCATTAATACTGGAACAGGCGAAAGAAATTTCATCTGAAGGAAAGATTTCCTCTTGACCTCGCTCACCCTGGTTAGGGACAGATTTATTTTGATTTTCTACCAAAAGCCCAAGTTCTCAGGTAGCACAAACACACTGAACTCCAGTCAAGGCAAGAAGTTCTGCTCACACACAGCAGCAGCAGCATTTTTAACCCATCTCTCAAGTTTCAGAAGGACCATTTCCTCTTTTGGACTCTCTGGTGGAAGGCTGTTCATGTAACTACCACCCCAGCAGCCAAAAGAATAAGATCAGCTTGATTTTGCACTTAAAAATAAATTCTTTATTATCCAGAAAGGAGCCAAATCATCATCTCACATCATGGAAATGGTCATTTTAAAGCAATAAATAAGAGGAGTGTTCTGTGACACACCCTGGGTTTTGTCACTGGTGTCTGGTACCTCTCTGGTTAAAAGCATAAAACTTATGCTGTCAAAGTCTCACTGTACAACAGTCTGGGAAGGAAAGAAGGCCCCTAAAATCTTTTACTAAAGCAATGACAGAAAATTCTGATTCAGTGAAATCCAAGTTCCAGGATGGGTTTCACTTCATTCCAAGGAATTTAATTCAAGGGAAGGAAAGCCAGGTTTCATCCCTTCCATGCACAAATGCAGTACACAATCACCTTGTCTAGAACTGACACTGAATCAGTTCTTAACCATAAATTATCTATTTACTGCTGATCCAAACAGTTTTTCTTTCATTTCCTATTCGAGCCAGGGGAGTTGCAGGAACAGCACAGGATACAAAATTTAACTTCTTTCAGCAGGAAGTGGAAGTCAGGCTAAATCCACACAGCTACTCCAACACCAGTAATTAAGAAATTTAAAAGCCCCAAACAATTAGGGGCTAAAAAGATTTAAGAAACAATTAATAATGATGATTGTTCAAATCAATGCATTCAAAATATATAACTCATATAAGAGAGCATAACTTATGCATAAAACTGAGAACAAAACACCTTTCACCTTTCAGTTTCTAAAGCAACAAAACAGTTTTGAAAGAACAGGTGTGAAGCAAGTAAAAAAATAAAATCATATTATTCCAAACACTTTTATTTGTGAAGGAGTTTCCTGCATGGCCAGGGGATAGCAATGTCTAGAGTTACAGGACTACATGATTCAGAAAACAATGATGATTTCAGGCTGGGCTTGGTCGTTCTCTGCCACGAGCAGTGATTTGGAGAACTGTGTTTTTCCTGAAGCAGTTCTGGGAGAGATCAATCCTTCCACTGCCTGCTCCTCCAGAAACACTTCTGCTTTGTCATCCAGGGCTGAAGGCAGAGGCACAAGAGTTGTGAATATCCACAAGAAGTTGCACAGATGCTGGAGATGA